CAGCAGATAGAATGACGCCTGGGTATTTAATTTCCGACTTGGTTTCTATTTCAGTGCCATCAATGTTGCACACCTCGTGAGAGCCAACCAGTTTGTTTAGGTCAGATTTATGCCTAAAGGTGAAATTGACTGTTTGGCATTTGGAGGGGTTTAGGGTAAGACCGTTTTCCTTGGACCACTGGCTGATTTCTGATAGAAAGCCATTTAGTTTAGAGCAGTCACTTTGACACCTGACAGGCAAAGATACAGTCAGATCGTCAGCATATTTGACAAAATTAATGTCATTTGAAGATGGCAAGTCATGTAGAAAGAAAGAAAAGAGAAGTGGGGAGAGTACAGCACCTTGGGGGACACCAGCTTCAGTGAGCGCAGCAGAGGGTGATTTACCTTTGTATACTGTGTACTGCATTCTGTTAGAGAAGTAGGAATGCAGCCAGTTAGTGACCCAGGACTCAGTTTTTGTCATCGAGAGCTTATTTAGCAGGAGACATCTAGGTACAGAGTCGAAAGAGGAAGTGCAGTCGAGAAACGTGCAACGAACGTAATTGGCACCTTTATCTAATGATGAGACGATACTGTTGTGTAAGACGGCTGCAGCGTCTAAAGCTGGTCGCGACTTCCCACTAGAACTCCAAGCAACTACCTACCAGAATAGGTAGGTATTCAATGGTTAGTTTGTAGGGATTTGATTGATTGGTTACAATCGTTACCAGTAGGGCACAGTAGGTTGAGCGTGACGACAAATATTCGCCACCGATGATATTGGCTAGTGGTCGCGTTAATTCATAAATTAGCAGGAGTTTGAATTCATGGGCTGGGCATTGAATCGGGTCTGAGTGAGTGGATGCTTAATGGTCTACGAGTTAGCTCGTCTCGTAACCAGAAGGTCGTGAGTTTTTGAACCCTGGCAGTGGGTGAGTACTGTTGAAACGGTGTTCAAAACTAAGTTGATGAGACAGCTGCCTGGCAGTACTTCCTGTGGTTGGTTTTCCAGTGGTTCTTTAACTGATGTAAGGTGATGATGAAATCCTGTAACTCATCAATCAAATTCCTACAAACCAATAAGTGAAAGAAAACTTTCCTCTTTGAATTTGTTAGTTTTAGTGTTTTCAAGTGAATATAAAGAAGACAGAGCTGAAGCAGATATTCACCGACCAAAAACAACCGACACCGACCACTTTCAATGGGGGAAATTTGAACGAGGTCACTTCTTTCAGTCATCTAAGTAGAATCAATTCAAGTACAGGCAACAGAGATGAGAATTAGGAAAACAATATTCAGCGAAGAGACTCTTTTCAACAACGAATTTATTATCAAGCTGTATAATCGTATATAGATGGTTTTTATAAAAATTATATACGGTGAGGGAATGAGGTCAAAGTTGTGAATGCATGAAATAATAATAGTATGAAATCCAATTAAAATATTTGCGACTCGGAACGTGACTTCTTAAAAGTCACTCTCGCAGAAAACGGTTACCCTAACCGATTTATTGACAGCAACATGAAAGATAAGCAGTCTAAACTGGTCATCGACACAGTTCCAAAGAAAACTTGGAATTCAAAGGTGATCAAACTTCAGATATGCTCAAAAATCGTCTCTCTAAAACAGTCAGCAAGACGTTCTATGCAGCAAAATTACATATGACGTTCACTAGCCGCAAGTTGTTCTCTACCTCAGTAAAAGATAAGCTCCCCCGTCTGGCCGCCTCCATGTGCATCTATCAGTTCACCTGCTTTTGTGGAGCAAGGTACATTGGGCGTAGTCAGAGGACGCTTTCCACAGATGGATACGAGAACATATTCCAGCTGTATGGTTTTACAAGGGAGAAAGGAAGTGTGTGCGAAGCTCTATTTTGGAACACCTGATCGACTTCTGTCACTCTGTCAACGCTGACAATGATTTTGAGATCATCTACCGAATTCACGCTAACTTCCCGCGTTTTCTTCGTTACAGACTTCTAAAGACAGCTGAGGCCTTGGCAATTAATGACTTTAAGCCAGACAGGTGTTTGTGTACAAAAGAAGTATGTACAATCCCTACTTCTGCCTTGGCCGTAGAGGGATGGACATTGATTTATGTAATTTGGTTATTTAGTTATTCTATGTACTTTTCCCTTATTACTACGATTATTATTATTACTATTCTCACTCTGAATCTTTTCCACTTGACCCACTTGACATTTTAAACACGAAATTATTGATTTTTCTATTTTTATTTTTACAATATTGAATTCTATCTTATCGAACTTCATACCATGTTATGTAACATTTTATATTCGTCTACTAATCTTATAATTATGTACCCCCTTCCAAAATCTATACACCTTATATATTATTCTATAGATGGCATTAATTGTTTTGCTACTTGACATTAAACTATGATTATAATCACAAATATTTTAATTGCATTTCATACTACTGTTATTATTTCCTGTATTCACACCTTTGACCTTATTCCCTCACCGGATATAATTTTTATTCAAAAAAAACCCATATATATATATACTATTGTACAGCTTGATAATAAATTCGTTGTTGAAAAGAGTCTCTTCGCTGAATATTGTATTGTTAATGCCACAATGGGAATTATTAAATTATTGAAGAGATGAGGATGTCAAAGACAGAATCAGTGGGGAGGTTGGTGTAAGACAGCCATTCATTGCTCTGACATCATAACGGGAATCGGATGAACTAAGCATAATGAACAATATTCGAATTATCTACACTAATATCAGTTAGTGCTTCCATATGGGTCAGAAAGTTGGCTAGCGCGTCATGGGAGGCATTTCTAAAAGTCTGTATATTTTTTAATCAACAGCTGCCTTCGTTGGCTCGGTACTGAAGATCAGATGGCCAGTCAGAAAGGATTAACAATAAGAGATCCTGGGAACGAACCAACGAACGAACGAACCAATAACCTGTTTATTGCCAAACAAATATACTGAAGGGAATGAAGTTGGACGGGATACATGCTGAGGATACTGATAATAATAATAATACTAATAATATGATAATCAATTGAACAAAAGAGCAGTGTTACAGAAAATAGATACTGAACAAAAATGAATCCCTCAAGAATGTAAATGTAAGCAGTGCGGACTAAATAGGCCAATAAGCAACAGTCATGTGATAAGCATGAAAATAGACAGAATGAACAGGAAATTGTGACGAAATAGAAGAGACAGACAATAAAAAGAGGTTTGGAAATCTAATTAGAATAAAAACGGATTTGTGAAAATTTTCTCTTCAAGCGAGAAATTGTTACAACAGGCTACAAATTATTGTCTAATTTTTTTCTAACAATTTGTTTGAAATGTTGATTTAATGAATTCAGAATTTGATTTGAACACGTTCTTTTTATTCTACAACCTTCAGTTTGAATAAAGTAAGAAGAACATTGGTTTCTGCAAAATAGAATGATACCATCATTTGTTTTTTTGGCATGAGTTTTCCCTCGTGAATTACTTGATATGTGTCACTTTCATATAGCAGTTAAATGAGGTTGACAAAGGTTTTGGATACTTTGTAGTGTTGAAGTAGATTCCATATTACTGTTTACTGAATGAAGAATATTGACGTTTTTGATAACCTGCACTTCTTCATCAGGTTCTACAGTTATATATCCATCCATAATAGTGAATGAATAAATTAGTGTTATTAACAACATTAATGTTATTATTATTGTTTCCTTTCATTCCTAGAGGAATGAATATAGGGCTTCAGCCGTGCGTCTCCATTGCGCTCGGTTCTCTGCTAGAGTTTTCACCTGGCTCCAAGTCTGCCCACACGTTTTCATCTCCTCCAAGTCACTCTTGCGTTGACGACCAACTCGCCGCCGCTTCCCTTTCGGGTTTCACTGGAGCAATGGCTTGTCTAGTGATGTCACTTGATGGTTTCCTCAGAGTATGGCCAATCCATCTCCATTTCTTCCTGCCTATTCATTTCACAATCGGTTCCTACTGTGTTGGTTTGCTCCCAGAGCTATCTGTTGCTGATCTTTTCTGACCGGCCATCTGATCTTGAGTGGTATTGAGCGAAGACAGCTAGCTGTTAATGAAGGTCTGTAGTTTGCTTGAGATGCTGTTTATGACGCGCCAAGTCTCTGATCCGTATAGTAGCACTGACTGACTTCACATTGGAGTTGAAAATCCGGATCTTATTATCATTTTGATGCTGAGTGTTGTTGACCTCCACAAAGAAATGAGAGTAGTGAAAGGTTGTTTTTCTTTTCCGATTCTTGCTTTGATATCCTCGTCAGTTCTGTCCGCCTGTAGTTGAAACTATGCTTCCCAGGTAGGTATGCAGTTGAGGGAGGTTGTTTCTTTAAGATTTCTCCCATATATGCTGGCTGATTGTTGTCTGTTGTTGTTGTTGCTGTTGGTGTTGACCAGGAATCTCCATCACCTCTGTTTTCTCTATGTTCACATGAAGTCTTATTCTCTCTTGATGCTTCTTCTGCCAACTTGTTGCTTTTCATCACTTGCATATCTTCCAGTTTGTGGGAAATCAGACATATATCATCGGCGAAGTCCAGATCCTCCAAGTTTTTGTGTGAGTCCATTTTATGCCTGTTTCCTCGTTGCCCGCCGCTGTTTGTCGCATTATCCAATCTACTTCAATCAGGAAATTAATCATTGGCGATAGTAGGCAGTCAGCCTTGTCTTACTCCTGTCTTCACTTCGAAGGATTCCGTAAGTTTCCCATTGTGGATTACTTGGCATTCAGCATTGTCGTACAGCTGTTGGATGAGATGTATAATTAACAACATTAATGTTGTTTAAATAATATTGAATCAATATTAATAATATCAATGGATTACAGTTCAACAGTGTCAGCATAACAATACACTGAATATCAGAAAAAATAGGAAAGATATTAATGCAGAGTTCATGAATTTATAGTCTCCACGTATGGCCTGCCAGAGCAGTAGTAGTTTCTGACCGGAGCACCACTTGTTTCTGGGGGGATCGCAATAGCCTCTGCTGTTTGGGGCATGAGTTACCTCGGTAATTTTTGGCCAGCAATGAAGAATGCTTCTCTTTCATCATCATCATCATCATCATCATCATCATCATCATCATCATCATCATCATCATCATCATCATCATCATCATCATCATCATCATCATCATCATCATCATCATCATCATCATCATCATCATCATCATCATCATCATCATCATCATCATCATCATCATCATCATCATCATCATCATCATCATCATCATCATCATCATCATCTATCGGGTACCAAATAAATTGCCAAAAACATCCCGATACCGAATACTTCAAACAGCTGAATTAACCGGTGATCTGGGTGCAGAAGAAACATGTCCAGCCAGCGACTTCTACTGTCCTGGCCTTCAGCGAAGGCTGTACATTCATGAATCTGCATTATTATCCTTCCCAATTTCATTGTCTAATATTCAGTCTGTTATTATCACCAATGATATTCCTAATTGTGGTGCACGACTGGATTATGCGTCAGACAGTGAGAAACGAGAAGACAGGAATATCCTTGACCTGGACAGACGTGAAGAACCTAGAAGACCTGGATTTCGCGCGTGGATGACTTATGTTTGATGTCACACAAAATCGAAGACTCACAAGTGAAAACCGACCGACAAACTGGTCGAAGAAGCAGCCTTTGAAGACGGGACTCCAGGTGAACATAGACAAGACGGAGGTTATGAAAATAACCAAACAACAACAGCAGGAGCAGCAACATCCACCGCCAATAAACATCAACGGGAGGGATTTGAAAGAGGTTACTTCATTCACTTATCTAGGGAGAATTGTCTCAACTACAGGAGGAACGGACGAGGATGTCGAATCGAGAATCAGGAAGGCGAGAAACACATTCATCAACCTGAAACCATTCTGGAAATCTTCCGCTGTCACTCAGCCTGCATCAACAACAAAATTATTCGGATTTTCAATACAAACTTCAAGTCAGTCAGTTCTTCTATACGGATGAGAAACTTGACTGGTTACAAAGAATATTTCCAACAGGCTGTGGCAGACCTTTATCAACAGCCGTCTTCGCTCTATACTGAAGATCTAGTGGCCGGAAAGAACGAGAACCAACAAGAAACTATGGGAACAAAAAAAACAAGAACGAATCGCTCAACAAATATGCAGGAGACAGAAGTGGAGATGGATTGGACACTCGGTGAGGAGGACATTGGGTGACATCGCGCGTCAGGCCATAGCTCGACTGGAACCCGAAAGGGAAGCGATGAGTGGTTCGTCGGTGCAAGTGTGACATGGAGGAGATCGTGTGATGAGGAACTGAAACAGTATGGACCAACATGGATCTAGGTGAAAAGTACAGCAAAAGACCGAAGCAACTGGAGACGTTTAATTGAAGCCCTATGTTCCACTAGGAACCCAAGGGAAGAATAATAGTAATATTCAGTCTGTATTGTTATGTTGATACTAGTGAACTGTAATCTATTATATTATTTAGACAACATTAATATTGTTAATAACACCAATCTATTCATTCACTATTATGGATGGATATATAACTGCAGAACCTGATGAAGAAGAGCAGGTTATCAGAAATCTGAATATTATATATTCAGTCACTATTCTTTTGAAATAATGATAGTTGAAGATAGCTCCAGGTAGCTCCACCTATCATTGAAGCTTTATATAGTGAACGGTGTAAACACAATTTATGCATCCCAAAGGAGACCGAGATCAGGGATACATTGAGCCGACCGTTGAATGACATGTCGTGCAATGCAGGCCATCGCTCCAGTGTGTAGCCCCAGTGGGAAGAGAAGAGTAGGTCATCGGTGTAACATGGGTAACATGGTGGAGATCGTGTGGGAGGATGAGATGAGAGAGTTTGGGCAATCGTGAAGATAGCCAGCTGAAGAGGACAGCAGAAGATGGGACAAAGTAGAGATGAGTTGTTGAAGCCAGCCCTATGTTCCACTAGGAACTCAAGGGAATATTCATAATATCATAATAATAATAATCAATTGAACAAAAGAGCAGTGTTACAGAAAATAGCTACTTAACAAAAATGAATTCCTCAAGAAAGTACATGTAAGGAGTGGAGACTAAGTAGGCCAATAAGCAACAATTGCGAAAAGGCAATAGTGGTGCAATTAGGAGTGCGATAATTGAACACCTGGTCAACACTGATCATTCCATTTCTACAAACGCCTCCTGCTTCAAAGTAATCTACAAAGTCAAGAATAACCTATCAAAGGCAATAAGGTTTCGCCTTCTTTGTATCGCTGAAGCTCTGGCCATTCACATAGAAAAACCAGAGCTGTGCATACAAAAGAGGATTACTCAACCACTTCTACTGTCCTGGTAATAACTTCTTTGATTTGATTTTTTTTATTTTGATGACTTAATTCTGTTTCTTTGCCTGTTCTTTAATTCTTGTATTAATTTAGAACTCTTACGTAATTTCGTATTATCTACTTTGTTCCTATGTGCATCCTGAGTAAAACTCACTCATCAAACTATTCATAACTTCTTTTTAACAACTGTTTGTGACAACTCATCACCTTTGTTACTACCCTAATTTCTCTAAACACACCTAATTTTCTTGACTGATTTTATATTAGGTAACTCCAATTACTAATCTTCACCTGTTTAGTTAAAATAACTATAACCAATTGTATTTTTCTTTGACAAACTTAATGTACACATACATACAAAATAACACATATATATTTGCGATTGTACAGCTAAGCAAATGAATTCGCCGGCGAAAAGAGACTCTTCGCTGATCTACGTGTTTTGTTTTCATTATTGCCTGGATGGGGATTATACATGAATTACGTGGAAAGCATGAAAAGGGACAAAGTGAGCAGGAAATCGTGACGAAATAGAAAAGACAGACTATAAAAAGAGGTTAGGAAATTTAGTCAGAAAAAAGAAGATTTGTGAAAATTTTCTCTTCGTGCGAGAAATTGTTACAACACGCTATCGGCTATTGTTTTGTTTTTGTTTAAACAGATCGCCTGAAATGTTGAATCATTGAATTCAACATTTGATTTTAACACATTTTCGAAAAAAATGTCCCTTATTGTTCTTCTTCATTATTATCGTTACATTTTTATTTTACAAGTTTGAATAAAGCAAGAAGAACATTGGTTTCTGCAGACTATAATGATACCAGTATTGCTCATTTGATTGGCTTTTGATTACAGCAAAGAGCATGTTGTTCGATAGAAAATTGTAGGAAAAACGGTTTCTTTGGTAATGGATTTTAAGCTTTTCTTTTGTTTCATTATGACATCATCTGTTCTTTTCTTTCTAACCATATTGGAGTAGTTTTCGAATGATGTTTATTCATCTTCAGATAACTCATAGAGAAAGTGGCAGTTTTTTCGAGATATTCTGATCCAGTTCCGGTTAGTCTTGGTCGAATAGTATCAATGTAATTCAGAGTGTGTGCCGTTTCAGTGTACACTGATTGGTTGTTTTCTTATTGGTTGTTTTTTATTATTTTCTATACTTTTCGGCAATATTAAACTGACAATCATTGGTTGTGAACGCCATAGTCACCACCTTAAAAAATTTTGTATTATTCAGGATTACTCACACTTCCACTACAAACACTGCATCAGACCTGAAAATAAAAAACAAAACAACAACCCTGAAATGTTATTTTATGATTGTTTAGTGTTATTTCAACCAAATTAACTGATCATCTTGGCGATAAACATTCTTAAATATCATTTCATAACTTCTTGTATGACTATAGCTTCACTGTCACCATGCATAATCATATCATAGCTTCCACTACCCAATACTGAGATATTATTTACTATGTTGTTTATTTTCCTTTCTACTTCTTGCTATTTTTTCGCATTTATAATTACTTTTTGTGTGTTTATCCGGTTTTTTTGCTGTTGGTGTCTTTAGATTTTTTTTTAATACTCCTTTTAAATGTTTGTAAAATTAGATGCAAATATTGTAGATATGTGCTGAAAATTCCACACTGTATCACTACTACTGTTTCTGGAATAAAGCAAATTATTATTGATTGATTTTTGTTTAAAAATGAACTCTGTGCAAGTATGTTAAAACTGTTTCCTTCAATATACTACTTAGTCACATCTCTGACCTGTAAGCAGCTGATGAGAAGCCAACAAAACAAAGGATTATATCGTCTTCTTATTCTGCACAAACCTCCACTGTTGTTCCTGCTTTATTCAAATTCATTAAGAGGAATAAATGTTGTCAGAAGAAACATCAAAGACACGACTTCCTTCAGGTAAACATAGAGAAAACAGAGGTGATGAAGATCTCTGACCAACAGCAACAGCAGCAGCAACAGACAACACTCAACATAAATAGGAGAAATCTGAAAGAAGCAACTTCCTTTACCTACCGACCTGAGAAGGATCGTTTCAATTAAAGGCGAACGGAACTGATGAGGATGTCATCAAAGCGAGGATCGTAAAAGCAGAGCAAGGTTTCATTTCTCTCAAGTCTGTGTGGAGATCAACAGCACTACTCAGCATGAAAAATTAATCGCAGTGAAACGTCAGTGAAAACAGTAGTATCGTTCTGTTTTGTTTTTCATTCGCTGGAAAGTGTAAAAATGTTTACTATAATGAATATCATAAACCTAATGCCCAAAGTTTTTCCAAACGTTTCACACTTATTTATTGAATTCAGTATGATATAATTTCAAATAATGTATAGGCTGGTCACTTCGGCTCTCTTCTACCATTACTAAAAGTTTTCCTGGTTAAAGGTTTCTCTTATGAACTACTATTGGTTAGCGAATCATTGAAAAACCAGCCGGGAGTATGGCCAGACATCTGTTTCGTCCTCATCGGATACTCATAGGCGGTATGCACTCAGTGACAGGGTTCGAACCCACGACCTTCTGCTTACACTGCGAGCTAGCTCGTAGACCATTAAGCCAATGGGACCCGATCCGATGGCCAGCCGATGAATTCTAACTTCCGCCAATTCACTATAAAGCACAACCACTAGCCAATGTCATCAGTGGCGAGTATCTGTCCTCAAAACCTATGAAATGTAACTTATCATCCGTACCCACGAAAATACTTTACATGAGCTTGGAATTCAAGGGTGACTTAGCTCCTGACATTATGAAAAGAAGGATATCATAATCCCTGAAAAGAACATTCCCTGTTGCATCTCTGGGTATAGCCTTTACCAGTCGACCATTACTGTTCAATAACCTAAAGGAGAAGATCCCGCTGTTGACCAACTCAATGTGTGTTTATCA